ATTACAGAACAAAGAAAAGAGGTGTAGTGATGTGAGGGGCGGGGTGTCTATGAGCTCTTGGCAAAAGTTGAAAAGACGTGAGATAAAAAAAGATTTGCATTTCCTTGTGCCTTTGTGTTTCTCTTCTTCCTTCCTCTGGACCAAAATAAATATTTGTTCCAGCACTTCAACCACTCAAGTCAAACATTTAAATCTCTTTCTCTTTTCCTATTTTTTACTATACCTCAGTAGCAAATCCAATGCCCTTGACTTCTAAATCCAGAAAAGCCATGATTATCCTGAGTAGTGACACTGTAAGTTCAGGGCCCCACTCTCAGCAAAGCTCCCAAGCTAACTGGCGGTGCCACCATGGGTTCCAGTGCCACCGTGAGTCCAGTTCAGGCTCTCTGTCATTCCTTGTGGAGGCTGTTTCAAATCTTTACTATTTATTCCTCCTTTTCTCTCAGGATAGAAATTCTTAGCTATTCTTTCTCACCATCAACAAGACTTACCTGCAAGACTATCTTCTGACTGGAAGAAGTCATGTTTTTCATTTGTTTGAGGCCGATGCTCCCACATACACTCTGGATCCCTTCTTTCCCATTTCAGCTCACTCCCCCACCTATATCTCTCTTTCATAAAATTGTATTATTTTCCTTATTCGTATTTTTCTCTAAGGTCTTGCCTCTGGTCATGTATCTCCCTCTCTCTGAGTAATCTTATTTACTCCATAATTTCAGCTACCACATATACCCTGGAGTTCTTCTAGCTACATCAGCAGTCTAGGATGTTACTTAAAAATCCAAACGTATCCACCCAGTTGCCTTCTGGATAGTCCCATTTGATTTTCCCTCTCTCTCTCTTCTTTCTCACCACTTAGGCAATGAATTTGGTCAACTTCACTTTTGGTCAATTTCATAAATATTTTCATGAGTCTATCAGTTTTCCTCATTAACTATTTCATTAGTTTAACTTCAGTTAAACTTCTTGCTACTGACAAATCATTTAAAACAAAATGTAATTAAGTAGTCCCATGTTTGACATCTTCTACTAGTCCTCCTCAAGTAGGGTTTAAATGTTAATTCCTTGGGGCACCTGGGTGGCTCAGTGGGTTAAGCCCCTGCCTTCGGCTCAGGTCATGGTCTCAGGGTCCTGGGATCCAGCCCTGCATGGGGCTCCCTGCTCAGCAGGGAGCCTTCTCCACACCCCACCCCTGCTCTGCCCCACCTGCCTCTCTGCCTGCTCGTGATCTCTGTCAAATAAATAAAATCTTTAAAAAATAAAAAATAAAATATAAAATAAATAAAATAAAATAATAATAAAATAAATAAAATTAAATTAAAATGAATAAATAAATAAATGTTAATTCCTTGACCTGACACACAGGTCCTAAAGGATTTAACCACTGTAACTATCTTTGTAGCCTTTTGTTTCCCAAAGTAAGTTCAGAGGAAGATCATTCTGCGGGAAGTTGTGCAAGAATGAGATATGGGGAAGAGGTAGGGGATGGAGGGTTTTGTCAAGTTCAAATACACTTGAGGAACTAATGCTCCATTTTTAGCTCTCAGAGTAGTGGTTTTCAAACTAGTCTGAGTTAGTAACACAAGCATTACTAGGAACTTTATTATATATGCAAATTTTCAGGCCTCACCTTGGACCTGGGGTGTCAACAACTCTGGGGTGAGGACAGCCTGTCCGTGATTGAGCAAGCTTTTCTAACAGTGCTGCTGAATGCTAAAGTTGGAGAACCACCATCTTAGAGAATCACAGGGCACAGTAGCCTGTTACTCCAGGAATCTAGAAAACATTGATTTAACTTTGTTTTAAGCAAGCATTTTCTCACTTGCTTTGAGCATGGACTGTGTGTGTGTGTGTGTGTGTGTGTGTGTGTGTGTGTTTATAAATAATGCTGATATCCACTAGAACCAATGATAGAGAAACACAGTCTGTCAAAAGGCTACATCCTTGTATCCTAACATTGCTGGTAATTCCGTAATTATGTATCTGTCATGTACTTCTGCATTTCAGTATCACCTTACTTTACTAAATATCTTCCCCCAACCCTTGTCTAGCCAACTCCTTAGAGGAGGGGTTTCAAAATTATATAGTTATTAAACAAATACATGGAATGCCCCATATTTTATAACCGATCTGATATGTTGTGTAAGCCCTACATTAACATGAAGATGGTATCTGTTATTTTGATAGATTTTTCCTCACATGTAATGGTTCTTTCTATATGGAAATCTATCTTCATATTTTCTCATTTGACATAGTGTATATCTTTTCAGCTTGTCTGGTAAAGCTTTTCTGTATTGAAATATCCTTTATAAACATGACCATTAGAAACTTTCTTCGACTGATTCTACACTTTGGCAACTTTTCCACATTCACGAATTCTCTTCTCTTATACTCTCACAGCTTTTATCATCCCTTTTCCTTAATAGTCCATTAAGAAAATAAGGTTTAGTCACCATAATTCTAATCATCATAATCAAAATCAATCTACTAAGTTATAGTTTTATGAACTAACTATATTCCCATTTTTTTCCTTGGCTTTAATGGGTTTATCATTATATATTATATGGAGTATAAATATATAAGATACATTTTTCTTATGATAAATATTAATTTTTAAGGGTTTCAGTAAATACTAATGCACTTATTACTAGCTTCCTAAATTTCTGTTACCATTGTCTTATATTTTCTGACCATAAGATCAAATGCCCTGATAGACCTCTAGGATATTAATAAAGTGTTGCTTAGGAAAAAATTAATCTTTAAGAAATCTGGTAAATATTTCAACATACAGGATTGCATCCCATCCTTTTAAACATGCAGGCTGTTAAAGTGCACTATTAAATTAGGGATAGCTTGATTTATTTTAATGTTATGGGATATGTAAAAACTCAATGATTCAACATCCAGTTTGGTTTATTCTGGGGCAACATACAGAATTTGATGAAAAAACTGTACCATCTGTAATCCTCTAATGTCATAAAAAAGTATAAGGAAAGTAGGATTTGTGACAGCTGAGGGATTTTGAAATTCATACATATGCAACTACTTTATTCTCTCCTTCTTTCTTTGTTACTCTTTGCAGAATGACAATAAGTGATTGTGATGTTAGACATGTCATCTAGAGTCATTTGCTTTCATTTAATCATATTACTTGAAATAACCTAGACATATAGTTTGGCTGTACACATATCAGGACGATTAATGACAGTATTAATCAAGGTCAGATGCCTTTGAGAAACAAATGCTGTGGCCATCAGAACTAATTTTATTTACAACCTTTATAATCTACCAGGTTCTCTCGATTTTTAAATTCATAGAGGAAGAACTCTATTGAACTTAATCTAATGAGTAAATAATTACATTATTGTGATAATAATAAAATTTTACTCATCAAAGAAAGATAAATTTAAAAAGAAACTATAACTTGAAAGTAGGCAAAGCTGAATATTTGCAAGCCTGTATTGCCACCTGATTTTCTTCTTGAGGGTCTTCCAATGTGCCTTGAGGTACCTTAGGAATTGAAAGAGGAAGCCTGCCAAGAAGTTTCAAGTGGTTCTCCAGGACCACATTCTTAAGAACCTTTGGAGAGTACTTACAGTTCATTCTGGCAGTCTGAAGTAATTTGTGCCAGCCACTGATTTTTGGACTAATGTAGCTCTCCAACATTTAATATCTGTTGCATTTTGAGCATAAATGTAAGTCAGCAGCACTTAGAAGCACCTTAGGAAAATACATGTCCCTAAAGATACATTGTATTTTCCTAAAGGTACATTATAGTGTATGGAGGTCTTTACTAGTAAGTGGATTCAACAGAGGGCTAATATCTTAGCTTAAGTGAGAGCAATAATGTGGTGCTGACTCACTCAGGTCGGGTTATGTGTCTGAGGCAGCAGTTACAAGATATGCATTCAGCCTTTCAGCAGAGGGTAGCTGATCTTTGGATGAGACATAATTGGAAATGGCAATAGTTTGGGCCCCAAAAAATCTAATCCACCTTTTCTACCAGAAAACCCATGAATTTCCTGAGCCACAAATTGAAGTTTTCAGATACCCTGGACCTATAAGCTTGTAAATCATTTGGCAAATATAATTGGGGGGGTGGGGGGAGCCACCTGTTTCTTACTTATTTGTATACTTGAGTAAAAGTTGGCTCTGCCTTCATCTGTTTTGCCTCATTATTTAAGTAAGTAAATGTAAATGTAAGTAATGTAATTTTAAGTAAATTGTAAGTAATGTAAGTAAATGTAAAAGAAGTTCTCTAAGAAGATTACCCACCAAAGAAAACAATTGTCTGTGTTGAGTATGATGTCGATATGTGAAACATACAAGATTGTTACTGTACTCTGTTCATCTCATTATAAACTTAGATCATCCTGGATAACTCTCTCAGAGGTGAGAGCTGGAGAATTCAGTAAGCATGATAAATCAAGGATTCAAATATGATTTAAATATGCACACACACACACACAAGAAAGATACGTAACTTTTGGTTGACTAGGTGCATTTGTAGGTGGAAGTAGAGTGGTCCATGCCATTCAGAGAACACTTATATACTGTAGAATTTAATGGTACTGGCTTTGTTACCAGGCAGCCCTGAGTTCTGCACACTTACCACCAATGTGACTGTGGACAAAATATTTAGAAAGGATAAATTATACACACACACACACACACACACACACATACACACACCTTTGTACACACAGAATTCAAACCCTCTCCTTGGAAGAAGCCACTTTAAAGGGATGATTTTTACAATAATAATGAACTGCAATTTAGAAAGCACAACCTCCAATTCAAAACCAAAGATGTAGAAATGCAAGCCTGGCCTGGCTATTGTGACTTTATCCTATGGGAAACCTGAATTTAATAGTTTTGGCTCACATAACCTAAGAATTTTTCCAGAGCCACTTTTTTTCTAATCCTTCCATTTGACAGTGAAAAACTAAGGTCATATCATTTACTCTTTTCTTTTACATGTTGTGTGACCTTGTGAGCAGAGTAAGAAACAGGACATTCCTCGGGAAGATCAAGGACCGACCACCAAGAATTTGGATTTTTGGCCCCAACTGATTACACTGATGGTCACTATTATTGATGAGGATAAAACTGCGTACACACCTGTCCTAAATCAGTAAGTACATTGTCTTGGAAATGAATGGATTTAATTTCACTAAAGTTATGAAAACATAAAATATGTGAAGATGGTTTGTACTCATGATTTATACTCTCATTGGAAAAGTTTGTTTTCCAAAATTAAGCTATATAAAGCAGGATTTTTGTATGTTTAGCAGTAAATATCAATTTGGTGATACTATGAATTTTTAGTTCAAGCCCCATAGAGTGAGATTCTTTGGATATAGAGACAAATAGTTCCCCAAATTTATTTTTATTTGATGTAGAAAAGTTTCTTCATTTGTTCCTTACTTAATTACCTCCCTGTCTCAAAAAGAACAACAGCAACAACAACAAAACCCACAAAACTATCCCATTGCACTTCCCCTAGAACTAAAATGTTGAAAAGTTGGTAGTAAACATATTTCAATGTGACTTTGTAATAATAAAGATTTGTCAAAAGAACACCTGCTTTCAAAGCAGTTGTGTACCATGGATGTATTGCAGTGTGTAACAGAATGAAGTCCATTTTCTCAAGTACCAATGTTAAGCCTATGACCCCCTGCATAGAATTTGCAAATTATGAGCAGAGAGACAAGCAGATGACTTGAAATTCATGGCTATTCTAGAATAACAGATTCTAGAAGAGTCTAAAATTATTAATTTATCAAAATGCACTGGCTATGAGAACTTGGACAAATTATCTAATTACTGTGAGTCTCAGTTTCCTCATATATTACTAGATAATATCAAAGGTCCAGTCCAACCTCAGCGTTGCCTGTTTAGGATTTATCATATGCCTACATGTCGATGGCTATATAGCAGAAGCAAAATAACAGCTGAGTCTACAAAACTAGGCACTTGCAATGTGATTAATGGAGAGGGTATCCTCACTTACTGGTAATACCTGGAATGCTCTGGGCAGCAAGGATAGCAATAGACAAACCATGAAGTAGAGCATGCAGTAGATTCAGACTTCTTGTAGAGAACTTGTTTTATTGTTTCTCTATAATGGTCAAAACAGTTTCAAACAGCTTATGTTGAATTCAACTGAAATTTCAGTGACAGAAGGAATAAATGTAAGTCTCCCAATTTTCCTCCGTTGCTTGTTCCATAACTGTCGATTTTCACCTGCCCCCAGTTCCTAACTGTGAAGAAACTGATCCTTTTTGATATGCAACCATGATAACGTCATTAGGTTTGCCTTTATACGTTCTTTTCCCTTGCCCTGTTACACTCACCTTTTCTGCCTCAAGACCTCCTGATGACCCTCTGTGGTTTTACTTTCTTCTGATAGCTTAGGACTGTATCTTCTCTTTTCTTTTTTATTTTTTTAAAGTATTTAATGTATGCATATATGTATGTAGGGGAGGAGAGAAGGAGCATGAATATGGGGAGGGGCAATAGGAGAGGGAGAGAAAATCTCAAGCAGACTCTGTGCTGAGTGTGCAGAGCTGCACTGGGGGCACAATCCTATGACCCTGAGATCACAAACTGAGCTGAAATTAAGACTTGGATGCTTAACTGACTGAGCCACCCAGATGCCTTTCTCTTTTAATATATGGCATGTCATCCGCTCATCTTGGACAGCTTTATGGAACAGATATGTTTTCTCCTTCATTCTTTGGACCTTCTTTGAGACAGGGTAGATTTCCTGAAGATAGGGAGATCAATACATGTTTTATGCCCTTGATCTGGTATAGGCCATTTGGTAAATGACTATTGAATGAAAATAGATATCTTCTCAGAAATGCTAATTAAAAGTTATGTGAAAAAGATTTTACTTCTAATCAGAGAAATTCTTTACATTTACCAAATACTAGAAATCCAGGTGTGACTAGTAAAAGATATATCATAAAATCATGGAATCAGAGTTTCCCAGAATTATTTTTAATCATATACTATGAAATATATACAAAGATTTTATTTGACTTTTTGGAACTATATTAAAAGAAGTGGAGGAAATACATTCAGTTATGGCAAAAATTTAAATTCTGACCTAAGTTAAGTCTACTAAGTATAAAAAGAGGCAATGAGACAAGAAAGGGATATCTTTATTTTGCTTTTTATTTTTGTTTTTAATTTAATGTCAGAATTTAGAGTCACTTTTTTTTCCTGTGAAAACCTAGCCCTAAAAAAAACTTGAATGTCTTTCTGGTATTTGGAATCTATGTTTCATGATCTTATTTGCTCAGATTCTGAGGCTATTTTAAAGACTTATTCAAATTTTGACAATTTATAATAATTATAGAACAGACACTTGAGAAAAGAGTTTTTTTTTAATATTAGTATATATCCATGCATTATATTGGTTGAATGAATAAAGAAATTAAAGTAAACCTTATATGTAGTTAACATCTCTTCTTTCTGTTCCTACTTCATTATTAATAGGTACATAAATAACAAATCTCAGAACACTGAAAAAAATAAAATTATCAAAAAAAGAAAAAATAGGTACACTAGAGTATTTGAGCAATATTTATTCACATTTTTAAAATTTATTAAGTAGCTTTCTAGATGCTCATAGAAATTTCACTATTTTATTGAAATTGAAAACCATTAATTATTTTCAGATAGGTGTGGTTCTCTCTCTCCCTTGTTAACATTTATTGAAGTATAATTTAATACAGTAAAACAGCACATTTGATTCATATGATTTGATTAGTTTTGGCATATGTATCTAGTCACAAAACCCTCACCACAATCAAGATAATTAATATATCTAACACCCTAATAAGTTTCCATATGCCTTTTGTAACTCACTCCAGGCAACCACTAGGCTGACTTCTGATACTATAAATTAGTTTAGAAATTTTACCCTTTTATGTAAAAGAATCATATGTACATTTTTTTGGTCTACTTCTTTCCCTCGTCACAACTATTTTGAGATTCAAACAGGTTGTTGTGTGTAGCAATACTTTGTCACTTTTTATTTCTGAGTAATATTCCACTATAAGATATACCCCAAAATGTACCTCCATTCGTCTTTTAGGATTAGGGTCAAAATTTGTTGTTTTTTTGCCCCTAGGTTAGGTTGCTATGAATATTTGTTTACAAGTTTCTGCATAGACATATTCTTTCTTTTCTTTTGGGTCACATGGTAGGTACATGATTTGTATTCTTAAAATAGCTGAACTTCTTTCCAAAGTGGTTGTACATTGCCAAAACTTAATATGGTTAGGATTTTTTTTAGTCATTCAGATAGGTGTATAGTGGCATCTTACTGTGGTTTTAATTTGCATTTTCCTAAATACTGATGTTGACCGTCATCTCATATTTTATTGCAATCTATGTATCTTTGGTGAAGTATCTGTTCAAAAGCTTTTTACCATTTCCAAATTGGGTGTTTATCATTTTATTATTGAGTTATAATTGTTCTTTATATACACCAAATAAGGTACTGTTGTCAGATAAAATGTTGCATTGTTTTTTCCTAGTTTGTGACTTTTTTCCATTGTCTTACTAGTATCTTTTGAAGAACTTTTTAAAATTTTTGATGGAGTAGTCCAATTTATTAATTTATAATTTGAGCTTTTTGTGTCTTATTTAAGAAATATTTGCAACACCCACAAGCCAACTTTTAATATCACAGTTTTCTTCTAGATGTCTTACATTGAGATCTATAATTCATTTCAAGTTATAGAGTTTAAGATTCTTTGGGATTTTCTTTTTTGTGCTTATCTTTTTAATTCCATTTGTTAAAAGAATTATCCTTTCTCCACTGAATTAATTTGGCAACTTTGCAAAAAATCAGTTGGCTATACTTGTGAGAGTAATTCTGTATTTTTTGTTCCATTGATTTATTGATCCATATATCTATCAGTTTAGTGATGATGAAATTCTTCGGCTTTGTTTATCTGGAAAACTCTTTACCTCTTTCATTTCTGAAGAACGATTTTGCCAACTAGAGTATTCTTGGTTGGCAGTTATTTTTTTTCCTTTCAGCCTTTTGAATGTATCATCTCATTCCCTCCCGGGCTGCAGTTTCCTCTGAAAGTCCACTGATCGCCTATGGGAATCTCCTGTGAATAGCAAGTTGTTTTCCTCTTCCTACTTTTAAGATTCTCTCTTTGTCTTTTATTTTTTCTCTTTGTTGAAGTTCTCACTTTGTTCATGCAATGATCTCATGACCTTAGTGAGCATCTTTACAACCATTATTTTGAGATCTCAGTTGGGTAAATCACTTTGGGTAAATCTGTTTCACTAAAATCAGTTACACCTGGGGATGTAACTTGGTTTTTGTTTGTTTGTTACATAGTCCCCTGTTTCTTCATTTTCCTTGACTGTTTTGGTTTCTGCACTTTAGAAAAAACAGCCATCTCTCCCAGTCTTGACAGAATGGGTCTCATCAGTCACCCCAGCCTGAGTTCCAGGTTGTCTTTCAAGCATTTATGATTATCCAGGCCACAGGTTTATTTATTTATTTATTTATTTATTTTTAGTCTCCCATAGTTGAGCGTTTGTCAACACTTGTCAGTGTCCCCAAAGGGGAATGGGGATAGCAGTCAGCATGTAGATGCAGGCTAATTAGAAGCCAGTCCCTGAGGCAACCACTGGAAAAATATGTAGTTAAGCCCCCTTCCAGGGAGAAACTTGGAAAATGGACATTTTTGCCTATTCCTTCTGCACTGGGCCCAAGGGGTGGGGGAGGGGGTGCTCCTGTATGTGTTGAAAAGCTGCTGCTTTGTTTGCTATAGTCCTGTGGGACTTGTGAATGCAAGACCCACTGGCTGTCAGATATAGGTGATGTGGGGACCCATCCCTCAGAAGCCATAAGTTGGGGCACCAGATGTGCAGACAGCCTCCTTTCAGGGAGGTACTTGTAATTTGGTTTTGTTGTTGGAGCAATCCAGAGGGATAACATGTGAGAAGTGCCCACCAGTTCCACCGAGCTCTGGGAAGGATTTTAGCCAGCTCCTATACACATGCTAAATTAGAAACCAGATCCTCAGGCTTGTAAAGTATGCAGTCAAATACTTTCCAGAAGATAGGCAGACAGGCATTTTGCCTGCTCTGTCT